AACAAACAGTTCCAACTACAAATTCAGTCTTAATGACATCTATATTCTTAAAGAAAATTTATTAAAATTCCTGATAGTTTATTATTGTAAGACTAATAGTTTCAAAGTATTTAATGTGAATTTAACTAAAATGATAGTTAACCACTCTGATAAGATTGTAAGTAGTTATTACAATGAAAGATTATGGATGAAACAATTCTCAGAATGTGACGTATTTGACAGTAATATCACTGATAGTAGCACCAGTGAAATGTTAACTACATTGACTTTTCCCAAAGTTTTGAAGTCTGATGTGCCAAAGAAACCAATAATAATAATAATATATATTTAATACAACAGTCATAATATGTAAAAAAAAAAAATGGTTTCAATCCTAAGGAGGTAGAAATTAGATGCACATTTAAGTCTGTTATTAGAATAACTTTTTCTTACTGTTACAAATGTATACATAAGAATAAAAATATCCATCATTTATAAATGTACATGTTCTGTTTGAAACCAAATAACATGTTCATAAGATTAGAATAGCCGAAGGGTTAGCAATAGGTGCTGATGATAGCTCTCTTTCATCAGCACCTATTGCTAACAGGTTACATAAATATTGTTAAAGTGGCTCCTGGTTTCAGGGTACCTTCCAATGTGACAGTTTATAATATATTGAGATCTCTCTATCTCTTCTTTGCCTGGCAAGGTGCTACCAGTGATAGAGGGGGGTGTCATGGGCTGGAATTGGCATACTTGACTCTAGGATAGTTGTTGCTGCTATCTATGATGACTCTAGGTTCAAGATGTCATTGTTGTTTGACGGGAAGCATGACATTTGTACTTTGGTGAAGGATTTTTTTTGGCTTCAGAAGGAGCTTTCAAGTCTGAGATTTCTGCAAGCAAAATGTTTTCCTCTGTGAGATCTTTGTGAGGTATGGTAAGGTCTACAGTGGCCCCCAAGAGTCCCCAGTACCTCCAGGAACTCAATGAAGTCACCAAAGCCTCCAAGTATAATATTTTCTTCAAAAGTGGAAGGAAAAATCTGAAAAATTGCTGGTCAAGCTTAACCAGAATGGTAAAGAATTTGGTCTTATGGAGCTAAATTTAGTTCTAGTCAGAGTGACTCTAGTTAAGTTAAAAAATAAATAAAGGCACTACTATGACTATACAAATAGGATTGAATGTTTGACCAAATCTGAAGTATTACCACAACTGTTCTAAGTGCTGTAATGTCATTATTCTTATTTCTTAACAGATGTAAACATTCTAGCATCACACACAAAACATCAATTTAACGTTGGACATCGAGAAATAATTGGGTAAAAAGTTGGTAAAACTATTGTTCCTCTTGTTGAGAAAGAAAACATATATTAAACAAAAGAGTGAATCCTATATGGGCACATGACCTTGTACAGACTAATCAGAATTGGGGAATCAAACCAGTTTCAACACTAGGGTGTATAAAAGTTATTAATATACTGCTGAAATCTGTTTTTTGCTTTAATGCCCTGTAAAGTTAAGCAGCAGTGACAACAATGTTGAAAACATTGGAGTTAAAATAATAAGGCCAGCTTTATAGATATGTAAAATCTACAAAAATGAGTCAAATTTCATAAAATGTCAAGCTTAAAAAAAGGGAAGTTTTATAATTATGTATAAAAATGTAAAGGTGTGATGTCAAAACAAGACATCTAAGTTAAACAAGACAAGCTCTTGCCATCCTTTTTTTTATTCATGTTGCTAATAGTTCCTTTGATAATGAAAAAGAGATCACTTCGAGCTTCCATGATTAAAATTTCATTTATTTACTGTCTCTTCTATCACATGGCATACTTGCCCAAGTGCTGAATCATAAAAACATAATGTACAAAAATATTCATTTCAGTCAGAATTCTCAAACCTTGTATGCATAAACTTGATAATCTGTATTACCTCTTTTACCAAACCATCAGCGTGTAGAAGATACAACAAAATGCATGTCTTCACCACACCCAACACCTTACAAAACTGAGCAAACACTTGGTTACTGGAATTAACTTCATTGTCCTTGTGAATGTCTCCAGGTGTTTTGAATCATGATGTTCACTGATGAGTCAATACATCAACCATTTTAGCCCACAGTAATCAATACTGACTAGTTACCTACTCAAGTCTCTGGAAGATAACTAGCTACATCCAGACCTATTATCTGGAAAGACCAATAAAGCTTCTGTCAAAACACATTACATGGTGTAATTGGCTTTTCTTCTGGGCAGCACACATAGTAGTATTTACATCACTATGCTATGTATCAATCCAAATGCAACCCAAAAACCAACCTTACACATTAGCATAAATGAAAGGAACACCCTACTCGCCTCCAGTTCTTACATTATGCAAAGAGTACTATTTAAGTCACAGATTGAGAATTACGGATGGTGGTAGCAGTACAGCAGATCTTCATGTACCACAGATTACATGCATTTATACTATGTTCCTTTATCTATGAAAGTCAGGTTTCACAGTGCTGCATGACAAGTAGTGCTAAAGCTAGATCCTGATTCTACAGTTGCTCTTCATAGAGCTCCCAAAGTGTTATTTATGTAGTCAACCCACCAGTGAAATCATCATTATATGGTCAACAGTCACTACTGCTGCAAATAATTTCAGCTGCACTGAATTTGGATATTCACTGAATGTATACAATTTGGCAAGACAATCATTCTGAATTATTGCTACAGATGATGACATACAACAGTGTCTTACTCCTTTCATGATTTGATCCAAATTGTTGAAGTTTATAAGATATTACTGTGTGATGCGTATAGTTCTCTCAAATAGTGAACTTCCTACCATACAGTTGAAATATTAACAAATACTATATCTGGAAGCAGATCCTTCTTTGTTACACAGTATTTTCATCCAGGAGCCATCAGCATACCACTAATATGTGTGATCACTTGCAATAATATCACTCGGACTGTACTATTATTGGCATCAGTATCAAGGGTGAATGGATAGTCTTGTCTAGGATAAGCTAACAATAAAGCCTCACTAAAGCAAGTGTCCGAAGGTGAAATGCTAGATCAACATTTTCAATCCATCTAAAATTCATTTAAAAGTGGTAGGTGCTTTACATATACAAAAGGACATGATTAGAAATTCATACTGGTCATCTCAAGCAGTCTCTCATGTCTGTAAATGGTATGAGAGCTACGAATTACTCTGCTGGAAATTTGTTTGTCAGGGTGATTCCTCTTGTCAATACTCCTATTAAAATATAAAAGTTTTATCAATGCCAATGTATCAACCTATGTCATTTTAACAGTTGAGACAAGCTGATAACTGGTGAATTAAGACTTTCAATTTAATAAAATATGATGTATAGTAATAATGTAATACAACAGGATGTTTATATTGAGATTGTTTTGTGAAAAAATAAACAAAATTTCAAGGTACATGATAAGCAATTCTCATAAGCAACAGATTACAAGCATGATGGGATGTGGGAATGATTGTTCCTTTCAAACACAAGAGGCTTTGAGAGCAATCTTTGGTCAGCTTGCTTTGTTAGTATCTAGAAACCACCTTTAATGTGATGATTCAATAGGCACCTTCTAGCATTTCCAGATATTTATTTATTCCTGACGGTAGAATCGTGTCAATGTGTATGACCCATTCATTCATGAAAAGTCTACACAGAATCTTGTCACACCCTCCTTCCTGATGGTCATTATTAGAGTTGGCCAAGCACTCTTCAAAGGTTGTACGACTACATCCTTCAACATATGCATGATCTCACCAGTGGCTATGTTTCTATTGTGTCAGAGAAGTCAGCACAGCAGTAGTTTGATATTACATGTCACCTAAATATAAACAGTGGCATGTTACTGCTGTCCACCAAATAGACATCTCCTCCCACAAACATATCAACATATTTAAATTCCAGCTCACAGAGTCCTTATCATTGCTGTATTGAGTCCAAACTGTCTAAACAAATTTCAACAAGTAATCTAAGATGTGCTGGCAACCATCCATTTATATTTGACCACAGTAGAGCCTCAGCAAACCTAGTTGTGCAACTGATTTTAGTCATTTCCATTTCATTCACTTTACTATTGATGATTCAGCTGAATATTCATATTAAGAGATCAACACTAAGATAATGCCAGCACTTGGAGAGAGAATTGTTCAAGCAATTGCAGCATGATTTCTGTACAGAAAGCATTGTGTTTCATGCAATAGTTATATCTCCACAGCAGATGTTGATAATGTACTAGACTGAATCCATTATCCACCAAAATCACCACTTTTTGAATAAGGCACTATGACTTTTTCTTCAACATGTACTTGTGAAGTTCCCTGTTCTTGGATCCAATCTTTCCTACAGAAATACAATTAACCAACAGTACTGTTTAAACTGACTGACAATTTCTGCAGTAGGTTAATCTCTAAAATACCAATGCTTAAACCAGATTGAAAAAATCAAACTTCAATCTACAAGTGTCAATTTCAAAATGTAGCTGGAAATATGCTTATCCACTCAAATGTAGCTTGTCAACAATTGCCACAAAAAAAATTGTATCACCTGGCCAAAGTAGCAACTTCACTGGGAGTGCCATAAAGTTGAATAATACTTTTGTTGTTCCTGCATTAACTAGGGATTTGACTTCACTTTGAGCCTCTTTACAAGCACACATCTAGCTCCATCGCCCTTGGCAAGTTGGACTGACCATAAACCTTTGGACACAAAATGTCTCATTACTAGATCAGTTAAGCAGCCATTTCTAGTTACTAATTAGTTATTAACCAGCATTAACAGAAATGTCTCATCACTTTCTCAATTATTAAGCATCTTCATATTATTAGCATATTTAAACACTTTATGAAATACAATAAGCATAAAATCCCTGAATTAGTTTGTGAACAAGAAAAAACCTTCCTTTATGATACAAAATCGATATTTATGACTACCATACACAGTTATTTGTTGAAAGACCCAAACTTATGTTTTACAAAATGTTATGAATAATAAGTTAATCTAAATAACTATTTTTTATTGAAAGGTAATAACTACTGACATTAAAGTACAAACATTAGCATTCAGAGAAACTTATATTAAGTATAACAAAGCAAACTGGAATATTTTTAAATTAAAGTGAGACATAATTACTCTAAATTTTATTACTATATCATCAATGGCTTATGGAAAATATAGATTACACCAATACATCTACAGAAGTTTTGCAAGAAACATCAAAAGTTTATTTTATTGCAGTGCCCACCAATGTTGGGTGACCAAATATTCCCATAAATGTTCCCCACGGTTTGTATAATTTGTTTTGAGAGACATTAGAGAATCCAGCTTGTACCACAAGAGCAGCAGTGTCCCTTGTCAGATTACAACCATCAAACACGATCCCCCAAATTGGGTTAATAATGTTCTGAGCCAGTCTTTTCCAACTTCTCTCATGATGCACGTGTTCGATGTATAAAAATATTCCATCCTGAAAAGGTAAGAAATTTTATTGTACATTTCAAAATAAAAATAAAAATTTTACAATCTTGTATACTAAAAAACTGTATTAAACAAGTCTGTCACAGAGTGCTTCTGGTTAGGTTACGAAATCAGATTTCAATTGCTATAATAGTTATTAGCCTATATAATCACCTAAGTCTAATTATTAATTAGTAACTTTTTTTTTTTTTATAAATAACATCCTAATAACTAACTAGTTTTTTATTTTCATTTTGGCTGATATTTTTCTGCCACCTTCAAGGAAGTCCTTAGAAGGATAATTTCTGAGTTGGTACTGGCCAAGATTGAATCCAGTCTTCTTGATGGAAGTCTGGTATGTTATCTACTTACATGGAGTCTCCCAATTAGAACTTGAATCACCTTATTACCTCCACCACTGAAGGTGGATGGAGGTCATGTTTTCACCCGTGTGTGTGTGTGTGTGTATGTGTTTATCAGCAAGATTTCTCGAAAATGGCTGAATGGACTTGGATGCAAGATGTTATACATTTAGACTATGACCCAACTTAGAAATGATTAGTTTTTTGGAAAATCAAGGTCAAAGGTCATGGTCACGAAAACAAAAAATACAAAATCCCTATCTGCTAACATAGGGACTGATTTTTCACACTACTTTTGCTCCATAACTCAGTCAAAAATGATCGGATTCTGATGAAACTTGGTGGACATATGTAGAATATTATTCCTCGTTGTACTGTGAAAGTGATCCACATATGTTGATAAAAACGGACATACGGACACATTTCCATATTTTTTGAGAGCTGAATATGAACAACACTGCATGGCACAGGTAAGGGTTCTACGAGCACCCCTCTAGTATATTTGTATATTTTATAGAGGGGTGTCTAAATTTTGCTGATTCTAATGCTATGTTGACTAAAAGTGTTATCAGTTAGATAGATGTAAAAACTTGTATAATAATTCTGTCTCTTATGTTTGTAGGATTCACATTCTATTATTTCAGTATTATTCCAATTTATCAAATGGCCTTCACCTTTGGTATGATGGGTTAATGCAAATAGATCAATATTACAAACATTTTTATGTTTATTATGCTTTTGAACTCTAACTTTGGTTGTTTGTTTTGTTTTTCCAATGTATTGGAATCCACATTAACAGGGAATCCTGTATTTCCTCTTCACTGGGTCTTTTGGTTTACTTGATGTTTATTAAATGCTGTTGTATTATTTTGTGGTTTCTTAATGCTGTTCTGACTTTATATTGTTTACATATTCTCTTTATGTTTTCAGTAAGACTTCTGATATAGAGGAATATGACTGTATATATCTGTAGTTTTTTCATTGTTTACTTTTTCTTCATCGTGTTCTGAATATCCATTTTTAAAACGGTTGCAGTTATGTGTTTTTCGTCCATCTTCCTAGCTTCTTCAGTATAAAAAATCTTGTTCATTCTAGAAACTGGGTAGTATATGACACCCTTTGTACTTACACTGTTGGGATGGTTTGATTTATCAGTACCTGTGGGTTTCTTGTAAACTCCTATATTATATGAATTATGTGTCTTGGTAACCATCACACCATGGAATGAGAGTTTATCTTTCCTTTTTACATTGCAGATTATATTGTGGAATATTGTTTGTTCAACTGGGCCATGAATTCTTAAATCTTGTCAATAGTTGCCATATTCGAATGTATCATCAACATATCCAATTCAAATCTAGGTGCACTAAATGGCTGTTTTGAGGGTGTTAACTTTGAAATGCTCCAAGTAGAGGTTAAAGAATACTGAAGATGAGGGTGAGTTCATAGCTAGGCCTTCTTGTTTTTGGTAGTATTTATCTTACACAGTATATGGATGGCATCTAACATGTGAGCTTCCACAACTGCTGATTACATTCAACTAATTCCATAAACTAATAACTCTGTTAAGAAGATAAAACTGCCAGTAAGATAACCTTTTCCTGCCCAGAATCATCCTATGAACCTTCTCTAATAGTCACTATAATTTTTTCAACAAATTGAAAATAAGTGATGGCCAGAATGAACTGTACCCGAGTTTCTTGAGCATTAGTAAGACCTCATTACATTGTTGTCAGAGCATATGACTGTACCTTTTAACATGCTTTTGTCAGCTATATATTTGTTAATGTTGTAATTTATTTGTTAGCTAGAGGGACCTGTGGGTGTTTGGGATGTAAAGTTCATATAGTCCTATAACTCTATAGAACAAGGCTTATTTATATAAATGGGTCAGTGAAGCCTCAAAGTAGTAGAGTTAGTTGAGTTGAAAGTTAGTTGTGAGAAAAAAAAATTATCATGCTATCATGTACAAGTAAGGGTGATGGTCCATTAGTCTGAGGGCACATTACACTGAAGGCCTGATAAAGCTTTAACTTTCTTTTAATAGGTAAAATGTTAAATTGATTCTTTGATTAAATTTGTGCAATTTTATGACAAATACACCCCAGAATATGACATAAAAGACTGCAATTTCTCATGTTTATCATAATTTCCCTGATGTTATTTTCTTGTATACATGTATAGTGTTAGCTGCAGAGCCCACATATTTACACATCACAATTGGATTTGAGAATCTAGCTTTTCTTACAGAATGGACATTCAAGATTCTTATTCCATAGTTCTGTGACAATGAATGTTATATTCCCAGCTCATTAACCACGTTGAAAGCTTCCAGACAGTAATATTATCTTGACATCAAGCCAATGTGATGAGCTGTACACTATAATGTTGATTAAAACATTTCTGTTGTTTGTATTTAAAAGGAGAGAAACCTTTAAACTTTTCATATGAGATTGCATGCATCTATTATGGACCTATGAATCTGTTTCTTCATTCAATCTGGACTCGTATCGCAAAAACCAAAACTCTGTGACTATTGGGCCTTTGGAATACTTGGTGGTCACCGCAAATATGTGGAATGATTGTATGTTAGTCCTAGTATTGTTATTAGAGAGTTTTAACATCATTTATAAATGTACGTCTACAGCAAATTACAAAGTGTAAAAATCTGTAAAGAAGCATTAAAGAAGAAATAAAGTGATTTATTCTTCCAATGTGGACTGGACATTGAATTATTTTTATCATAATTCAAGAGAACTGGCAAAGAAGAAACAATGTTACAATACACATGTATCTCGAGGTCTTTCTTTGAAGATGTATCACTAAATACTATACATTTTCAATCAGTAAAGCTTCTTAGGGTAGGCATTTAAATAGGAGAAAAATATAATAGATAACCTACAATAATATGATTAACAAGTGCAACTTAGTCTTACTGTTAAGTTTGCCTACACCTTGGAAGTATAATGTGCTAGTTTTGTGGCTTTTTACCATTAGTCTTTCCTTATATCTACCTGATTCTTGTACTAGTTTTGTTGTCCTTATGCAACTTAGTCTTACTGTCAGGCAATATTATTATTAACATTAATTATTATAAGCATACGTGTTACTCACCGCTGCAAGAACTCGTTTTATTTCTTTAAGAACAGACTTCACATCTCTCACTGTACATAAGGCATTTGTGGAAACTACAGCGTCCACACACCCACCCTCTACCTTTGAAATTTCTTTGGGTTCTCCTTGTATGAAGTGTTCTAGTGATAATACAGAGTGGGTTAAAACTCTCAGCAAAGACTACTTTATTATGCTGATTAGGTTCTACAATGATTAGGTAAGAATTATTTGGATAATACTTTAAATTAACACCGGTTCCTGGGGCAATTTCCAAAACACGAATTACACCAATGTTTCTTAATTTCCAATCTTTTGATTTAAGGTTGTGAAGAACACGAAACAAACGCTTTTTTATTTCATACATTTTAGTTTCACTAGTTTCTTGAGCAGACAAGTATTTAATTGGGCAAGAAAACCTTTTCCTAAAACAATGGAACTTTCTATCAAATAATGTTATAAACACTATAAATAACAATATCCACAGATAAAAACTTTCCCATAAAAATAGGGACAATGAAGCGTCAAGACTACCCATTTTGATTTTCTTAAAAATCGAAATCTCTAATAATTCATGTTTTAGAGCTATGTGAACTCCCGCGTGACTAAAAATTCACATTCAACTCTACGATCTTACGATTTCTGACTCTCTTATCAATAATATATCATACTCAATAATTTGACACAACAGTTACCTACTGGTCGAAAACTGCAACATAAAAATGGTTACATAATTTATAAACGCAATTATAAAAAACCGTATGAATAACACTAGACAACAAAAAATTTGCTACTGGAGAAAATTCAAGTGATTCGGGATAATTTGATGGTGCTGATTTCAAAAATGTAGCCAGAATTTGTCCATCCCTCTAGATTTTGAGTTAATGTAATATTTCAATATTTAATAACTATGTGAAATACTGTGCAATCAATTCAATACAGTAGATTTATGCTGTGAAATTAAGTTCACTTGGGCATTCTAATGGGTAAAATGTATACATTTTTGATAACATCGAACATTGACTGTATTGTATTTGGTGTAAAATTCCAAATATATTGTTCATATATGCTCTTTGTTCTCGATATAATTGTAGTGAATTTCATCATTTTTGCTTTATTCCCACGCTCACCTGCTCTGCCTGGCAATTACGAAACCCTCACGTGCTCAGTTCACAAGAACATTCAAGAAGTATCTCGACTGAGCATAAAAGAAGCGGAGCCAGACGCCTCTATCTCTCAGTTGCTGCTCACTCACTCAGTTCGTTATTTCGCCTCGCTCCACCCGCACAGTCAAAACAAAGTCCGATTTTTTTACCCTGCATCATACCCGCGATATAATCGAATTCAGCAAAACGTTGTTTTTAAAATACTGTTACGACAGCGAAAGTCACGTGAGTCTGGAAACATGAGCGCTGGAGTTTCTCGAAGGATCATGAATTTTCCTGGCAACTCTAGTTTGTTCGAGGCGCCCTCTTTTTTAGTATATAAGCCTGGCGAAAAAAACCAGCGCGATTGAAGAGATAGATCGAAGAGATTGA